TGCGTGTGTGTGTGTGTGTGTGTGTGTGTGTGTGTGTGTGTGTGTGTGTTACAGAATTAATATAACATCACATATCAACCTGTCTGTACCTCCTGGCGCTAGACCCTCCCGCTGAGTCATGACGCCGGACACATGTGACTTTAACACACTGACTCGAGTTCTATGATTTCGCTACTGCCTCTGACACGTAGGTAAGTTTAATCCTTCGGAGAAACGCAACGAAACACCATTTTAGTATACTGGTTAATAGCCACACGGGGAGATTCATCACGACTTGGTCACTTTCTTACAAGCAAATGCCTGCCTTCAATTGTGACACTTACTGGTAGAAGGAGTCACAAGATCTGGGATGACAGGTGAGGAAAGTGAGGAGCCAACAACCAGACGCTGATTCATGAATATAGATTCCTCCCAAACCTTTGAGATGCGAGAATGACTGATTTAAATAACTCGCATAAACACAAAAACACAAATGGTATTGGAAAACGTGATATTTTTTTATACTCACACATGATAAATATCCTAACTACATTATTTTAAGCCGAGATAAAAATAGCTCTACAAATATTCCCAAGTAAATTTCCTTTCACGCCCACACACGCCCAGAAAAATTCACCCACATAAAAAAACCACAAAATAAAAATTTCCTAACACTCACACACGCCCACAAAAATTCCCCCCATACTCACACACGCCCACAAAAAAATCCCCCACACCCACAAAGAAATTTTCCCCACACCCACACACGCCCACAAAAATTCACCCACACATAAAACCACAAAATAAAAATTTCCCCACACTCACACGCCCACAAAAAAAATCCCCCACACCCACAAAAAAATCCCGATTAATTGAGAACACATCTAACCTGACTCACTTAGTTCACAATCATGTAAAATAAATCCTGACAAGTTTACACAAAATTCTTTTCCCCTGAACTGAAAATGTGGGGACGTATCTAAATTGAAACTCACTGAAGCATTGAAAAAGAAAACCCAGCAACAGAATGAGGTCGTGTTGTGACGCAGATGGTGTTAAACTGTTCTTGGTAATAGCCACATGATAACTAAAAGCGATATCATACCAAAGGATAGCGAGGAAAAAAGGGAGTCGCATTTACATAAGAATCTCTTGGAATCCAGAAGTACTGTATTTAAGCTCTCTCTCTTTCTCTCTCTCTCTCTCTCTCTCTCTCTACTGGCTCTTGTCAACATACGTAAAGTCGACCTGGTCTTATCCATCGTCTTGTGTGTTATATACTCGATGTCGACCTTCCCACGACTCGACACACACACACACACACACACACACACACACACACACACACACACACACACACACATTCAATATAGTTTCTCTACTTGTTGTACTTCATTAAAAAAAAATATATATATATATTTTTTTAGTTATCCCGGCCTCAACAGGTGAAAGTTTTTAGGCATCAAAGGTAATCCAATTTAGCGTAAAATTTTAAAATACTTTGTTAGCTTTACCAAACACACATACATACATACACATTGTTGTTTGTGTGTGTGTGTGTGTGTGTGTGTGTGTGATTTGTTTATTGCTGGGTTACTCTTTGTTGTATGTTTGTGTTGTGTGTTTTATCTTAATGTTTTACTTGATGGTAAACGAATAATAAGTAATATATAAGTGAATGAATGGAAAGACAAAGATAGAAACGAGAACACTAATAGGATTAATGACTGTGTATGTATTACAAACATACACACATACAAATAAACACACATACGAACATACATAAAAATACACACATACAAACACACATGCACAAATACAGACATACGCACATACGACCATACATACAAACATACAATTACCAAAAGAATAAGTCATCATCTTTGCATCCACCAGTGATACGACCATTAGCGTGAATCTCATCAACTCACACGAACCCTAGTAGATACACGTGTCTAGTTGAAGCCACATTAACCTTAATAACAGCGTAAATATTATGAATACTCACTAAGGTTAGGAGGCTTCGCAAAAGGATACCCACATATTTTTCCTTTACGTACGAGTGAGTATTAACAATCAACATGATGGATCTGTTTCATCATTATCATCATCATCATCATAATCATCATCATCATCATCATCATCATCATCATCATCATCATCATCGTCGCCGTGACTCAAGGTTCCATAAGACATGTATAGTTGAAGAGTCTCCCCTTTAGATACGCCACCCAACTCAGAGATCATGGTGTAAGGATCGGTATCACCAAGACTTCAAGAACTAATAAATTAGATGATTTCTGGCACTTACCACCTAAATTTTTTGGGGGTGTTTGGCGTTAATCCCGTCATTTTAGTTCACATCACGAGCGTGTGGGAAGACTGAGACTGATATGGACAAGACTTTAGTACCTTATACCTTTGAGTCTGAGTATGAGTGAATTGTTTAGGGTTTTTTTTTATGATTAATTTATATTTATTGGCATTCAGTTCCTTCGCTTATCCTTTTACTTCATTTCAGATCATGGGAGAGGAAGGTTGCTGAGGGTCCAGTAGCCAGCCATGAGAAGCAGTTTATCTCCTGCCTTGGTGTAACTCAGTGAGGCGCTGGCACTTATCACTCGCCCCCAACAGCTACGCCTACAGGAGCAAGTGTGAGGCAAGGGGAGAGAGTGAACCCCCACATTCTCAGGTCTTATTAAACGTCTGCTACTTCAGGATCTACTTCTGCAGGAGGGGAGACTCTGAGAGCCTCTTCTACCTTGTGTCCGTCTGAGTGTTAATTATGTCCCGCACTACACGACTCGTTCCGGGACTTACCTGGCTTGTGTTGTCTTTTGTCTACACCAGAAACTGTGAAAGATGTTGACAGTGTAAGCAAAGTGTATAAGGAACAGGTGTAGTAAATCAGGTGTAACAGGTTTAACAGGTGTAGTAAATCAGGTGTAACAGGTTTAACAGGTGTAGTAAATCAGGTGTAACAGGTTTAACAGGTGTAGTAAATCAGGTGTAACAGGTTTAACAGGTGTAGTAAATCAGGTGTAACAGGTGTACCTTATGGGCATGTATATCGACAAGCGCAACAACATGGCATCCCCATTCCCCAACTCCTCTATATTGGAGAAGGTCCTCGGGGCCACTCACCACCACAATCACCATCACCAACACCACCAACAACAGCTCCTCGAGTCACCATCGTGGCAGGAGGCCTCTGCTGCCGTCGCCGCCACCGCCTCCTTGGAAGACCCAATCATCGAACTCAAATACCAAGAGAACTACGACAGCGCCTACATCAGCTCCTCCGACTACCTGGAGCTGCTACAACAACAACAGTACTACCAGGGGGCAGAGTTCAACTTCAGCTGGGGCATGATGATGAACTCCACCAACGGTACCAACATGACCTCCTCCATATCAGAGGATCTCACCCACATCAACATGACACAACTCATAGCCTACTCCCTTCTCTTCCCCTTCGCCGCCATCGGGAACTTGATGGTCTTCGTGGCGCTGTTCCGCAACCGACACAGAAAATCCCGCGTGAACATGATGATAATGCATCTGTCACTAGCAGACATGATCGTCACCTTCGTCTTCCTGCCCACTGAGATCACCTGGCACGTCACCATCGAGTGGGTCTTCGGTAACTTCGGCTGTAAAGTGTACAAGTTCTTTTCCGCCTTCGGGTTCTACATGTCATCGATGGTGCTGGTGTGCATCAGCCTAGACAGGTACTTCGCCGTCCTACATCCTCTCAAGGTCAATGATGCACAGAGGCGGGGCAAGATAATGCTCTTCTTCGCCTGGCTCATCTCAGCGGTCATCTCCCTCCCTCAGGTAAGATTGAAACATCTCTCTCTCTTTGTTTTTACATAATAATATCTCTCTTACCTGCAATTATCATTCACCTGTGGGTTAAACAGGTACTTACAGGCCTGCTAATGATGAAACAAGAAATATCACTCGTATAGGCTCTACAGCACGACAATATTGGACCCTACGTGTGTTAATGTCGCTTTGAATTTTGTACGTAAACTCTCTCTCTCTCTCTCTCTCTCTCTCTCGGCAGCGTCTACAGTTTACTGCCATACGTGACAAATTACCTCCACAACAGATAAACATACTTACATCCCTTGCATCTATAGCCTACCTAAGAACCAGTCTTAGAGGGGCATTAAGAGACCTCACATGTGGAGTAAGAGGCGACATGTTTTTAACTTAACCTATATCTCAAGGAAAGATTATTTTAGATAGTATAATGTGTATGTATATATGTATGTATGTATGGTAAAGAATCAGTTTATCTGTCTATTTCTCTCACACGTTATCCATACAAAAACAAACATATACACAAATTAATATATAAACTCATATAACTAATTTTACCTTTACATCTGTCATTTAGAGATTATGATAATATTTATTTAATTTCGCTAAGTAAATATGTACATCATGCAGGTCATCTTGATAAAGTATATGTTGGTTTTAGTTAAGTTCCCCCAGGCTCCTCTGAAGACTTGCAACATCATGTGGTATTAATCCAAACAATGTGTAAACAGATGAACTAAATCATAAACAGTATAAATATTGTGAAGCTCAGTGTAAACAAAAAATTAAGTTAAATAAGTATCACACACACACACACACACACACACACACACACACACTACAAATAAAACGACACAGTTTCCCCCCCTTCCTCACCACTTCCTCTTCCCCTCACCACCCTCCCCTTCCCTCACGACTTCCTCTCCCTCACCACTTCCTCTTCCCCTCACCACTTCCTCTTCCCCTCTTCCTCTTCCCCTCACCACTTCCTCTTCCCCTCACCTCCCCCTTCCCTCCACTCCCCTTCCCCTCACCACTTCCTCTTCCCCCCCCTCACCCTCCCCTTTCCCCCACCACTCCCTTCCCCCTCACCACTCCCCCTTCACCCCTTCCTCACTCACTTTCCCTCTTCCCCTCCCTTCCTCTTCCCTCACCACTTCCTCTTCCCCTCACCACTTCCTCTTCCCTCACCTCCCCCCTTCCCCTCACCACTCCCCTTCCCTCCCCTTCCTCCCCTCTCCCCTCACCCTCCTCCTCTTCTTCCCTCACCACTTCCTCTTCCCCTCACCACTTCCTCTCCTCACCACTCCTCCCCTTCCCCTCTCCCCTCACCCTCCCCCTTCCTCCCCTCACCACTCCCCTCCCCTCCCCCCTTCCCCTCCCCCCCCGCTCCCTCCTCTTCCTTCTTCCCCTCACCCTTCCTCTTCCCCTCACCACTTCTCTTCTTCCTCACCACTTCCTCTTCCCTCACCCTCACCCTTCCTCTTCCCCTCACCACCTCCCCTCCCTCCTTCCTCTCCCCTCCCTCACCCTCCCCCTCACCACTCTCCTTCCCCTCTTCCCCCCCCTCACCACTTCCCCTTCCCCCCTCACCACTTCCTCCTCTTCCCTCACCACTTCTCTTCCCCACCCTTCCTCTTCCTCCCCCTTCCTTCCCCTTCCCTCACCACTTCCTCTTCCTCCCCCCTCCCCTTCCCCTCCCCCTCCCCTCCCCTTCCCTCTTCCCCTCCCCTTCCCCTCTTCCCCTCTTCCTCCTTCCCCTCCCACCTTCCCCCCTCCACTTCCTCTTCCTCTCTTCCCCCTCCCCCTCCCCTTCCCCTCACCACTTCCTCTTCCCTCACCACTCCCCCCCCTCCCTCCCCTCCCCTTCCTCACCACTCTCCCACTTCCTTCCCCTCACCCTTCCCTCACCCTTCCTCCCCTCACCACTCCTTCTCTTCTTCCCTCACCACTCCCCCCCTCCCCTCCCCTTCCCTCCACCTCCTCCCCTTCCCTTCTCCCCCTCCCCTCTCCCCACCCTCCCCTCACCACTCCTTCCCCTCACCACTCCCCTTCCCCTCCCCCACCACTTCCTCCCCTTCCTCCCTTCCCCTCCTCCCTCACCCTTCTTCTCCCTCACCACTTCTCCTCACCACTCCCCTTCCCCTCCTCTTCCTCCCTCCTTCCCTCCACCCTCCCCCTTCCCCTCCCACCACTCCCCTTCCCCTCACCACTCCCCCTTCCTCCCCTCCCCCACCCTCCCCCTCTTCCCTCACCACTCCTCCCTTCCCCTCCCACCCTCCCCTTCCCTCACCACTTCCTCTTCCCCTCTACTCCCCTTCCCCTCACCACTTCCCTCTTCCCCTCACCCTCCCCTTCCCCTCCCACCCTCCCTCTTCCCCTCACGACTCCCCTTCCCCTCATTCCCCCTTCCTCGCTCCCCTTCCCCTCACCCTTCCTCTTCCCCTCCACTCCCCTTCCCCTCACCCTTCCTCTTCCCCTCACCCTCCCCTTCCCTCCACCTCCCCCCCTTCCCTCCTCACCACTCCCCCTTCCCTCACCACTCCCCTTCTCCCTCCCCCTTCCCCTCACCCTTCCTCTTCCCTCACCACTTCCTCTTCTCCTCACCCTCCCCCTTCCCCTCACCACTTCCTCTTCCCTCACCACTCCCCTTCCCCTCACCACTTCTTCCCCTCACCCTCCCCTTCCCCTCTCCTCCCCTTCCCTCCACCCTCCCTTCCCCTCTTCCTCTTCCCCTCACCACTCCCTCTTCCCTCCTCCCCCTTCCCCTCACCACTTCCTCTTCTCCTCCACCACTTCTCCTCACCCTCCCCCTTCCCTCACCTCCCCTTCCCCTCACCCTCCTCTTCCCCTCACCTCCCCTTCCCCTCCCACCACTCCCCTTCTCCCACCACTCCCCGTTCCCCTCACCACTCCCTCTTCCCCTCACCCACTCCCCTTCCCCTCACCCTCCCTTCCCCTCATGTAGTCCCCCTCCCCGCCCTTAAAGCCCAGAATGTATCACCTCTAGATCCGGTTCTTATCACGTGTGCTGGGGATTACTGTAATGTCCTGGGAATTGCGTCTTGATATTTAGAGACAAGGAAAAGCACAGGTGGGGGGTGGAAGGGGGAAGGAAAGAGAGGACAGGAGAGAGAGAGAGAGAGAGAGAGCATCATCTAACCCCCTTCCTCACATGAATCTCTCTCACAAACTCCTTCGTCTCTCCTTCAATGGGTGAAAGAATCCTTCCAGTATCTCTCCTCAGTGCCTCCTTTATAGGATGGCTTCAGGTAATTACCCAATCCTTAAGTCCTTTGGGGTTGAAGAGATTGGAGTCTATTCGTTCTTTCAGTGGTGTATTGTTGGAGGCCCTTTTAATCTGCAAACTAATATTTCTTCTTTTGGTTTTTCTCGTTCTTTATCTTTCTTTTTCTTCTTCTTCCTCTTCGTCTTCTCGTTCTTTATCTTTTTTCTTCTTCTTTTTCTTTATCTTTTTTCTTCTTTTTCTTTATCTTTCTTCTTCTTCCTCCTCTTCGTCTTCTCGTTCTTTATCTTTTCTTCTTCTTTTCTTTAACTTTCTTCTCCTTCTTCATCTTCGTCTTCTCGTTCTTCATCTTTTTCTTTTCTTTCTTTATCTTTCTTCGTCTTCTCTTTCTTTATCTTTCTTCTTTCTTTCTTTATCTTTCTTTATCTTCGTCGTCTTCTCTTTCTTTATCTTTCTTCTTCTTCTCTTTCTTTATCTTTCTTCGTCTTCTCTTTCTTTATCTTTCTTTGTCTTCATCCTTCCTCTTTTTTTATAGGAAATTCGTGATATTTTCCACATACCAAGAAATTGAAAATATATCAGGCACTACACTCGACACCCTTCATATCCCCAATAGTAAAATAAAGTGCCGATTTATAACTAGATACACCATGAATAATTCCCTGGGATCGAACCACCAACCCTTAGGCTAGGATGTGAGTCTTTTATCCACTCAGCCACCGTACTCCTTCCACATACTTAAGGATAATTCAAGGATTTTCTCATTACCGAGTCCTTAAATGTAAAATTTCCTTCACTGGAGAGGAGGGATATATAGCCAGCCTCCAGCAGACTATCTCAGTGCATCTCTCAGTATCTCTTGCTCATGGAGATTATATCAGACTGTCTCTCCACTATTCCCTCTATCGGTAAAGTATTAAAAAACATTTCTCTCAGTCTCACAGCATCATGTAAGCTGGTATAATCTCTATAATGTTAATCCACCTTACTCTGATTATCCTAGTGACCACAAGGGTTCAGATGATCCAGTGTTTAATATTAAAAACTCTTAACTAAAGTTGTAGTGTAAGGCTGAAGTTTAATACCATCAAGTCTCCAGAACCTCTTAAAAGCCTCGTGCTGAATACAGACCGAGTCCACCGCTTCGAATTCTTTAGTAACAAGATTCCAGACAGCCTCGAATCCCCTCCCCCCCCCCCACATATATATATACTCCCTCGGTAAGACAGATCCTTCAGTAATCCCAAAACCCAAAAACAAAATCCAGGCAACAACAACAAATCTCATGGAAGTGTTTATTTGTTTGGGTGTTGTTTTACTGGAACGAGATTCAACACTCCTCAAGGAAGAAAAAATAACTCAAGCCAAGTCAATAATCTCTTCAAGCAAGCAAGCAAATATCTCACAGTCTCCTTCCACACACACACACACACACACACACACACACACACACACACACACACTCTTCTAGGTAATATCACTCACAAGGGACATTTTTCAACAAGCGCACCAGTCACTGCAGCGAATCCGACACCACCCAGCACCACCCACAGTGAACCTGGGACACGTTCTTAGCCGGATACCCTGATTTATGATGCCTGCCCACGAAGTCGTTATTCCCGCATGGAGCAGCGAGTTCTGACGGGTGTGTGTGTAATAATAATAATAATAATAATAATAATAATAATAATAATAATAATAATAATAATAATAATAATAATAAACGGTTTATTAATAGAGTTGCAGCCGGTGGCTGAAAATA